ACATTTGTATAGTGCCCGTACCAATTACATTAATTGCATTCGTTCCGTTTCAATTGTATAATGTGCAATGCAGTTTATCGTATACGTTTTTCAGAATTTATTTTCTAAATTATTCATAACCGTACTAAAATACTGCTGCTGCTGCTGTTGTTACTGCTGTTAAACTGCTCTTAATTATTTTCTCGCCAGACGCGATTTCTTCGTGTATACACGTCCGGTTCTCTATATTTTATAATATCGTTATATTTTGTAATATTATATTTCGCTATTTTAATTGTAAACCATCTGATATTTTTTCGCCTCTTGTCGACCCGAACGACCTTTATAATATTATACGCCTTAGCCAATTAAATTTTGCCAGAATTCTCTTTATATTAATGTGGTAGTAACCCTCGTAGCAAATTAAATAACCATAATTTAAACAATCGTCCAATTTTTCAAATGCAATTACAATTTTTTACTGGAGCAGCGCATACGGTTGGCTTGTAATTAAAATTACTTCGGTATATTTCGTTCTGCTGTACGACCGATTAATTTTTTTCAATTCTGTTTTCGTCTCTTTTGTGAAATAAAAAATAAAAAAATAATTACCTATTATCATTCTTTTGTTGTCATTACAATAATTGAAAATGCAATAATAACCACAAAAACATATACATACTCATAAGAACACTTATTAGTGCCCATAAAGCTGAAGAGTCTATAAACCAATTTAAAGATTCATTAAATGGATTTAAAAATAGTATAGTACGAGCACGCATTTGAATTGTAATATCTCATATACTAATCTTATTTAATGTAAACCTACCTACACACACACACTTTAAATCGTATTTTAGCATTATTTTATTATGTGAATCTCTATTACGTCTCTTCGTCGATGTAATATTTTTTTGTTTCACACTGTATGTATTTTGTACCAAAGCGAACGGACTAATCTAAACAGACGTGGAATTCATTATGCACTGAAACAACCGTACGTACATACGTATTATTTATGTACGTCCAGCTGATTTGTATAATTTTTCAACGCTCTGCGTTATATATTTTTACATGTGCTTAAAACGAAAAAGAAAATTTCCAATTAGTCATTGCCACACAACACGCATTGACGTTCAATATTCCTGTGAGTATACTATATATATACTGAATCCGATCTTGAAGAGGAAATAAGTTTCCCATTCCGTTAAATAATTCAAGGTACACTGGAGTCCTGTAGAAGTCGGTCGGTGTAATTAAAAACATCGGCTTACTACGTGTTGAAGGCTATCCATACTTATAAATATATATTTATAACGGTTGATGAAATGACTCTGAAAGGTGTTACGTGAACCGAAACCCTTTCCTAGTTGAGCTACGAATGTGCGTATGTGTGCACGCGCGTCTCGGATAAAAGCGGCCAAAGGATTAATTGAAACTTTCAAGATGCTGTGCTGGCACAAAGGAATCATATTACTAGCTAGTACGAGACTTTCGTCGTCTTCTCGAACACCATATTTACCTCGCGGGAGCTTTTCTATAGGAGAAATGGTGGTAACGAGACGTAACTATGATATTATATTTGAATTCCGCAACAGGGGAAAAAAACGTATTAAAAAAAAAAAAACTTAATGCTGAAAAGTGTGGTTGTCGGTAAGCGGCGATGACGAGCGAGGGGTCATATAATATATTTACGGAAAAAACGTATTAATCTTTCAATGCCAGAACTTTAAAAACCCAATGTGTTGGTTTAAGTTTTAAAAAAATACGCGCTATGGGGTGGTGGCGCACAACTTTACGATTTTTAATCTAAAACGACAATTTTCTTGATGTACGTATTATTATTACGTATGATTGCAGTTTGACGGATGCGCGTGCAGGGATTCTATTTTCTTTTCCCATCTCGCTCCGCGCACAATGTCGCGGGATCGCGTTAAACCGTGTTCATATTTCGCTCGTTGTACACACCGCGTGATTCCGTCCATCGAACTCCAATCCGACGTACGCCCGTCACGGTTCACGTAGCCATTAGACGTGAAAAACGATATCTCTCGTACGATACCATCACAATGTTATTACGTAAGAACACTGACGAGCACGAGCTTTATAAAAAATTCAATTTTATTCCGTACGGGTTACGTGTATCATTATTATTACTGCGAAGGCGCACGAAAACACGTGTTTTGTTTTTATCGTATTACGATGCTATGTGTTTGGAATTCACCGGAGCGTTACAAGCTAAAATTATTGTAAACAGCGTTACGCATGCATATAGACGTGTTCCCGGCGAACGAAACTTAATTTATACATCGCCTGTTGACCGTTTAATTATTAACCGTCGTCGTCGTCACTAATGAATTTTTTTCGTGCGACACAGGTCGGACCGTTTTTGGCACGGCAAAGTGCACATAATACCACCGCCGAGCGGAACTGTACTTACCCCCAAAGTGTGTAAAATGTTTGTTTCCGTGAAAATCATTGTGCCGTTTCGCCCTCGAGGCGATCTGCGTGAGGAACGTTTAATAAAATATTTACAATGTGCGCGCGCGGGTGTGTATCGAGTTTACAACGACACACGATTCTCTTTGCGCGGCCCTTGCGTGGGAACTTTCGATAAGCTTATTATTCATAATTAAATTTAATCCAGCCGAGTTTCTCGGGTGGATCGTCAGCAGTCGCTCGTGAAATTCGACTTCACCTGTGCTCGTGCGTGCGCTACCGCTCGGGTCCCGAGTTCACCACTTTACACTGTCGGCCGCGTTTATTGACATTTCCGACGCCGAACAACGTCGTACAAACAGTACACTGGTGACCGGAGCACACGCGCAACGTGGAATGTGACATCCTCCCGAAGTTCTGGTCGTAACGATGCGGTCAAATTAACACGAAGAAACACGAACGTCCAGATCAGAGGCGGAACTAGGGGGAGGAAGATGGGGTTTAGTATCCGGACGTAACATTTCAGAGGGTGTAATTTTTGTAATATTAATCTATAATCGACTACTAGTTTGATATTTTTTAATGATAAGTATGTACTCAATAAGTATAATTGTATATATGCTTATTATTAGAAAACAATTGTAGGGAAAAATATTTGATTCTTTGTTTATGATAAGGCGTAATTTTAATATTTTTATGCTTACCGATATTAGTTATTCAGGTAGGATCAATTTCGAACATTATCCAAACGTGAATCGTGCAAATCGTCTCAATTGTATCTTACAAATACAAGATAAAAACAGATTAGATACATTTTAACGTTGACAAATCGAATGTATTTGTTTAACAGCGTAGAAACGTAACCGATCCGTTTTTATATGCATCTGTATGGATTATTTAATGTACGTTTATCATCATCGTTAGTTTTATTTGTACAAGAAATCTGGCGAACAATGATTTCGTAACACTCGCGGAAACGTGTAGATTCCCATTTATAAACATACATGGTTCCATAAATATATTTACATGATTCCGCATAATTTTCAATTCAGAGTGGACGTACCATTTTCGTTAACAGTGGTTTTAGTGGCTATTTATTATGTGAGGAATTGAAAGACAATTTTCGTATTATATATTGAATATAGCGCGGTTATTATTTTGTTTTGTTTTAATAAACATTATTAGGCTGCATATTATTAAATGATGACAAACAACGGTGGTATATATTTTTTTAACATCTATGTTTGGCCCCTTAGTTAAACACATTTTAGGTAAATATGTATATGAGTATACAAACCAAACTCAAGCGATGCTCAAAATGTTGTCGTCTATATAAATTCACAAAGGTTTAACGGATGGTATGGCAATGTTGCACTTAAAACAATTCATATTTATACATGAAATTCGAAAAATCTTGTTTGATTATAAATAGTTATGAAAATCTACACGATTCCGAAAATGTTGTGGAATTGCATTGTATCCCGAGAATCCGAAAACTTTTCACAAAAATATGCATAAATAAATATTTACACAAATTGATACACACGTATTCACACGCATATACGTGTTAAAAGTTAATCCGACCGCTTTTGGCAAAATATAGAATTTTTAACAAATTACTTATAACAAAAAGGTTTTGCTTGCAAACATTTTCGAAAATCTGTGTACGTAGTAAAAGTTCAAATTTTCTTTTCATTCTAGGTCACATTGTAACTCACAATCTTGTGATCTAAGAGCGTCTCTAGTACACGACTTGACTGATAAATTCTAAATTCTTCTTGGATATTGGTAATACATATTGTATGATAATATAAAATATGTTATTACAAAAAATAGCCTTAAACTTAATTTTGCGAAGAAAATTTTTCATAAATAATAATTGGTTGCCGAGGTAATGGCGATACTTTTCTCTCAATTTATTTTAAAAATGTATTACTTTTACACATTCTCCTATACTCATTTACGTGGTGATGTATACTGTAGTGTCTGGAATCAAATGCCATAAGTCACCCGGATAATTTTAACCGGAAACCTCTAAGCATAAGTCCACAAATGTATGATGTTCTTTTTAGTAGAATTTTAATCAGAATCTGATTTTTTTATTAAACTGATGAAACTCGTATTTTTATAATAATTAATTATACTATAACATGTATAAAAATAGATACTGAAACTACGATCTTTGTTCAGAGTATTTAAACATCGTAAAATTAAAAGTAACTTATTTTATTTAAGTTTTTATTACCCTATGGCTAATATACTAACCCATGTTCGCAAGATCAAAGTTATCATTAGGTTTGATTATTGGAATTAGAACGCAAATTATAAATGTTTGTGTAACAATTTAAATATATAATATTAGCTAAAAGGTTTGCAAGTGAATTACATGTGGTCTAGTTTAAAATATCTCTTAACTTATTCCCTACCACCACAGCAATATAATTTTATTATTTTTGTTTTAAAATTATACAAAATATTATTATCTTTATCATGTGTTGTGATTTAATTTTTGTGTCCACATGATACTTTGTACTGATCTGTTTTACTATTTTTTTTTCATGTTTTGCTCATTTTTTCCACAGGATTTGGCGTCGAAGTATTAAAAGTGTCTCCGGTGCTGATAGCGACCTTGAGTTTTTGCCTGTTACTTATCATACTTGCAGCAATTGTCGTTATGCGGTTGAAGAACTCCAACAACAGAAAACGTAATGGTAGACAGATTAACGGACAAGCTGGTGACAAACAGGTGATAGTTCATCAGCGGAGCAACGGACAAGTGTCCACGGCCATATTAGAAACAGATACCGACCCTGACTTGATCCAAGTGAAATATGGTAAATATCATTGTAAATATCTTATAATCATTATTTTTTTATTAAATACGCGATATTTTTTCAATTTTACCAATAATTTTGATTGTTGTCATTCTTCACGACGTATTTATGTATTTATAATTTCACCCGTGTTTGTGTTATATAATAATATTAAAATATTGTTTTCACTCGTGCTAAACTGATAATCAAGACATTAATTCAAAATAATCGTAAGAAAAATCATATCTAATGCAATTTAGATTTAATAATACAATATTTTTATCAGCCCACGTGAATTATTAGTCTTACCATAAATAAGAATAATATTATACATTAGTAAAAGGAAACGTTTTCCAAAAACTAATCTTATAATAATTTAAATTAAACCGCGTAAAATAAAATCACTGAAGGCAATATTACCGTAAAATCAAAATTTCAATTTTCAATTGTTATTAAGCATTTTTATATTATATTTTCAATGATTGTTTATCTGAAATAAATCAGTATTCGACTGCAAGGTATTCTTTTCCGATTGTGTGCAAAACGTTTCAAGTGATCGAATTCGTTTAAAATTAAAAACTGCGTAACTTTTTTTTTTCCACGCGTGCTTTTTATAAGGGTATATAGTTCATGTTGGAGGTTCTTGAAAAATAAAGATTGTATTATGGAAATTCGACTGACTAAATTCGAATCGATGCGGTACCGCCCATAAGGTTTTCGTATTATTCTCGGTATGCGTCGTTTCAAAAGACACCTTATATACCTAGTTAGTAGACGTCGAAAACACGTCGTATTTCAAACGACGAGATAAGTTTTTAAAGTACAAGCGTGTAGTTTGGCGCTCAACATGAGACGATTTTATTTTTTCGATTGCATCGAAAACAATTACTCGAATAATAGTGCACAGTTTATCATTACATCCCTGTTGGTATTTAAATAAGTCTTAATTCTTTCAAAATTTCCAGAAAACCTAATCTCGTATAAAATATATTTATATATGACGATATTATATATAATATATATGATGAGGGATGCCTAAACATAAATAATAAAAGAAAGAAAGATGTCCGATTGAAGAGTATGTTTTTTCCACCATCATATATTATGTTTGAATTTATGTGTACGATGCTAGAACGATAAAATTGATTCTGTTGTTCATCATCGGCCGAGAAAAATATTACATAAAAATGAAATCGAAAACTCCGACTATATTATTATAAAGATAATGTGTTGTGTAATATTGTGAGTACTTTAGTACAATTTATGCAAAAAAAAAGGATAAAAACATAATATATAAATATAATCAAACATCAAAATTACACGTTTTAAGATAAGAGCATGCGTTCAAAATTATTACCAGTATTAATTAAAACAATAACGAATAATTTCAAAAGGGTGTTTGATCAGGGGGAAAATGGTAAAATATTATATTTTAGAATATTCTTTTTAATAAACTGTATGTATATATAACTCTAATACCATTCACTCATCAACTGATCAATGTTCAGCTAAAACTACCATATCAATTAATTTTACATTTTTGGGGAAATGTGCTCAACTATGCATAAGTTCGCTAAGAGAGGATTTTTTAAAAATCGCATTTTTAGCGTTTAAACAGACTTGGACCCTGAGATAAATGTAATCATTTTTCGCTTTTTGATTACCTAGGAAACATTTTACTTTGTTTAATATGTTGATTTCAATAAATACCGATTGATGTATATGTAAATCAATAAAGTATAACCAATTAAAAAATAATAAATAGTATGAATGACCAATATTAAAATAACGATTAGAATGGCAGTTGTGCAATTTTTTTTTTTTATTTTACATTTGTTTAAATTAAAATAGTAATCGCTCTAGTCCAATATGATAAAATATCTTCCTGGTGACAGGATACATAACTACTATATTTGTTAATAATTTCTTGTGGTCAACCAATGCTGATCGGTTTCAAAACACATGTCACGAAGTTTTAAATGTTTAAAAATTACGTTGGAATAGCAAAGATATATGTAGTATAAAAAATAAAATAATAGTATCATTAAACAGTAGTGGGGCGATGTATTTTTAGTGAGAACAAAAAATTAACAGGGAACGAATGAATTACACGTACGTTTTGTTTAAATCTGTTGAAAATCGTTTGAAAATGTTGATAAAGTTTAAAACGGAAAAAAACACCCGTGGAAAAGTTTTCACCAAAGCATATACAAAACTTGTTCTTGTAATTTCTTCGCCGAGAAAGGTAGTTTTTGGTGTCGTGGGACCGAGAAGAAGACCGCATATTGTATGGCATAATGTGCACGTAACCGAACACGGGTAGCCGCGTGATTAGGGAGATTTTTCCGCGCGACACATAATGAGAAACTTTGGGGCAGTGTTGCGTTATGCAGCATACGCGATGGCAACGGTTTGTGCAATAACGAATCGTATACGTCACACCGGTGTTTTCTCGCCGAATATTCCGACCAATGGTGCGAAATCGTTCATTGTTTTCGTAGTACCTATATATTTTCTTGGAACGTTTTAAAAACCGTTTCCGAACGTTCACAGCAACGCACGACTTATACGTACACGCGGCGCTGATCCGGGCAGGCGAGATATTTCAAGTACCCCGGGACTAACCAGTCCTCCTTTACTTTACACTTGTTTGGTCAAGATATACGTACTGTTTGCGCTTGTACCTCGGTGCAATAAAAATATTTTTATAAAAAGCTGAGACCTGTCGAACGCACGGGTCCCGGGGTTCTAGCCCTTCCTGCCCCACCATATCGTTGGCCCTGCGCGTTGACCATTGGAAAAGACGCCGTTTCAATCTCGACTGGCGCACTTGTACGAGCCTACAGCGTTGGTACCCATCGTCCCTCGACATGCACACGAACGATTTCAAGAGACGATCGGGAAGCGATTATCATTCGCACAGACAATATACCCGTACATATATATCATACCGGAAAAACATTGTTAAATATTGGCATTGCGGTTGTCGTGTACATGATTGTATGTATATTATCTACGTGCGTGCGTTTACCTTTCGACATCGTCGTTTTTGTTATTTTGTTTTACACCTTTTACATGTTTACCATGCGGCTTTATGCCGATAATCGTGCAACTTCCACGTGTACACGCGTGTATGCATAATTGATAATAGGATTTCGAAGAATCGCCCGGTGTTTTGACCGAGCGCAAAATGATCCGCGTTCGAGAAATTTTGCATACGTGTATAATACACAGCTTTATACATGTTCCGATATATATATATATTATGTATATGTACGTATTAATTATTCGGGTGGATGAAATAAAAATGACCGACTCTTCGGAATGAATAATTTATTCGTTCGCACAAAACCGCCCCCGACGCCGCGTGCCGATCAATCGACGTAGTCGTTTCGCACGCGCACGGAACGTTGTGATAAGGTCCCTTACAGACGTCGAAGAGTTTCATATGATCAAGGAATTTCAATGGCGTATCTTGAAACATACACTCTTAAATATTGAAATTATACATTATTTTGGAAATTGTAGATTATAAAAATCAGTCTGTATTAAATTTTCAGGTTCTAAAAATGCAATATAATCAATCTGAAAAATAATTTAAACAATTGTTATTTTTGAAAAAATTATCGTAAAACCGTATCCAATATTTCAAATAGGTTAATTAAAGAAAAAAAAGAAAATTAAAAGTAAAAATAACGGATAATCATGTCCAATAGAATGAACACTTATTCTGGTTAAAATCTAAAAGTTTTCAGAAATATCCTCTGACAGTTTTTAAAAATCATAAAAGGTAATAATCTAAAGTACATTTTCCTTAGGACTACTGCGTATATAATTATTTCTTTAAGTAGGCATATAAATAAAACAGAAATGAATATCCATATTTACTGGTTGTATACAAATATATATTAATTACTATATTATAATACCGTCTCTTATCTCGTATTATTACTATTGTTAAGACTAGAATTTTTGAATCTTTTGTGACACATTTTTTTTTGGAACAAAAAATTGAATTGTGTAATACGTCTCCAAGTTTTTTTTTCTCTAAAGATTTTCAATAGATTTTTATGATTCAACGTTTACATACTATTGTTATATAAGCCATCGTATCCATCGATCCATCGATCGGTAAAATATAATAGGTTTAACTCTATCTTTTTATAATTCTATAATAACTAAAACTACAAAAGTTACACGATTTATTTTACACTTTGAAGGACGTATTATCAAACGGTTGTCGATCATTGTAGGTCTTTGGCATTAGCGTTTTAGATAATTTTACGATTAGATAATGGAAGGGAAATAAATTAAAACATTTTAGACCGTACATTTACGTGCGTGGTGTTTATTATTTTTTTTATAATTTTATTTTTTTAATTTTTACGAATATTGTTCATAATTTAATGCTTTACGGATGATGGTTGACCACCGCCGAGTCTTGTTTAACGACAAACATAATAATTACTACTGCAGTACAGAATGGTATTTTTTTTTTCTCACAGACCCGTCGGACCCGCTAAAACTGCGCAACGGTGGCGTGCAGTTCCCCAACGATCCACGGAACTCGTCCGCCGGATGGATCACTGGCGGCCAATCCTCATCGTCGCCATCGTCGTCGTCCTCACCATCGGCGGCCGACACGTTACGCAGAGGTACAACGGCCGTCCTTCCATCATCGTCCACCGAGCGGCCTCTGGCTGACGGCCACCGCGTTTGGGACGACGTCGGTGTGCTGCGGCCGTTCAGCTACACGCAGCCGCAGCAGCAGCCGCCACCGCAACTCCTGTCCCGGCTCCAGGACCCATCCGAGCTAAACGGGGCGGCCATCAAGGAGAAACTCATGATGTCCAGCAGTCACATACCCGAGAGCTGCGTGTGAACGGGCCGAGCGCGTGCCGTACGAAAGGAACCCTTTCCCGGTGACCGTCTTTCGGAGTCACCCGAGTGGACACGAAACAAACACGTTCCCGTTCCCAGAACCACCACTGACGCACGGCCGCCCCCTGCCGAATCGCGGTCGAAGGGACAGGTCGACGGTTAATAAACACCTCCGCGTTCGCCGACATTTCAACGGCCACGGCGATTGGGCAAATATAATAAAGCAATTCTAGAGGACCTACGAACGGGCGTCGCGCGCGTCTTCCAGCAGAAAATCACCTGATCGTCCGCGCGAAAACCACTTGGATAAAAAAAAAAAAAATTCGTTCGACAACAATGTCCACAAATAGTAATATGATGTTGTTTCCCCGGTCGATCGATACATTTTGTTCATTGTCGAACACATATTTTCTTGATGTGCACGTGTTCACTCGTTACATATCCCTTATTATTGTACAGATACTATATACATATATATATATATATATCGACCAGAAACGTCAACTAGTCTACGCGTGAAAACATGCGTGGTATAACCTATACGGCGACCATAACATAGTATAAAACACTTGTAAACAATAGAAATCAGAAAACATTTCGCGTCATCACTATCGTCTTACCGTGATACTTTTTTTTTCCCTAAAAACCCCGAACGAAATTAAGCCAATGGTGTATACAAGTATGTTACGAGGATTTACTGTAATTGGAATATTTATTATTGTCTAGAAAACATTACGTAATGTAAATCTATTATCTTAAATTAATTTTACGAGTATTATGCTATTTATATAATAATGGACTATCTGTCATTATATATTTAGATAATATTTAAAACCTATCAACTCTCAACACATATCAGATTTTATAGCGCCCGAAGTAGTACTTTCAACGAGTTTCAAACAGCAAAAAAAACATTTTCGTTTCAAACATTTTTTTTTAGAATATTATGAACTAGAAACAAAAATTTCTTATATCTATCGTCATTATCTATTATAATAACGATACGCAACCACCAAGGGCGATTAGACTAGTAATGCTTGTCACTAACAAATAAATTAACAAATAGTAAATAATGATAAAAACTAATTTTTATTAAAAAATCCATAAATTATAACATACTGATATGTTCTTTAGTGTCATGTTCAAAATTCCCATAGGCCGGATTCGGACTACAAAATGTTTGCCACTACTCCAACCTGACTTTTACTCCTATAAAATCATTATTATTATTATTATTATTATTGTTATTGTTGTTGTTGTTGTTGTTAAATATTTGTTGCTGGTTTATAATACTCTCTCAACGTCGAGTACATTAGAAAGGTAATTTTTGCTTCCAGACGTAACGGTACATCCTTTTATTATAAATTATTATCTAGTTGTATAGTATATTATAACACTAACCTAACCTATTCGTGTATTATAATATAATTATTATGATGTAATATAATATAAATAAATGTAATAAGGCTAATACACTGACCTAGACTAATGATCGACCTATGTTTGTGTAGTATAAATAAATTTATAAATAAAAAGCTTGGTCTTTCCCTCATATCATATGTATAACCATCGTTTTCCTAGCGCGTATTTGTATTTCATATATATATTTATAATCATGTTGTTCCTTCTCATAGTTTTCGTTACTATATTATACTGTATACATATAAGATTATATATATATATATAGGTTGAATTGTAAATATGATTTCTATCATTTTGAGTGAAAAAGAGAGAGGGATGAAAACAATGTTTACTGTACCTATATATATGTATTTATATATATTTAAATTTAGTATATATTCTTGTTTTATATAAGATTATTATGTATGTGTGTACATTTGTACGTTACCTTTATTATCCTAGATATTGTGTTATGACATGTATCGTATTATAAATGTACTCTTATATTAATATTATGATCGTTGTTGTTTTGTTTATAAAAATAAAGCATTTGTGAAATACTCTTCCGCGAGTTCTGTTTTCATTTAGACAAAAAAATTATACGAAAAATTGTGAAATTTATACCTCTCTGTACACACAAACAAATCCGTTCGTTTGTTTTGTATGAAAGTGTTAAATTGAATTTTAACATTTGTGGACACCTATTGAGAATGACCAGCGGACAGTGATTTGTAACCAGATGAAAACAGAAAAAAATTCGACGTCCTGAAGTAAGTTGTCTTTCACTGGAAATAAAAAAAAATAAAAAATACGAAAAGTTTTATGCTAGATAGCCATGTACATAATATAATTTATCATATGATCGGTATACTTTTGATCATTTTATTATTCAATTGGTGTTTTATTGGCGAATAAATGAAACATGGTTATCAGTAAAAGTATAAAACCTTTTCTTTACGCTTACACTTGTCTGATTATGACGTAGGTGTCCAGGAAACAGAAATTATATTAGGTATTATCAATTTCATTTCATTATAGATATTCCTAACTGTTTGTACAGAAAAAAAAAAACCAAAAAAGGTATTTGATTGAAGGTTATTATTATTACTTCTCATTTTAATGAAAAATAGCGAATATACACGCGATTTTTTTAATCGATAAGCTAAATTATTTGTTATATTATTTTCTATATTGTTTACCGTTCCCGTCTAATAATAGCACTCCAGTGTTAACGGACGAGAAATTAATCGACAACACGAACGTCGTTTAACATTTATTAATTATTGATAACCAATCAAAAGGGGGCAGATTCAATTACTATACACATGACCTATGGGCTGTGGGTAAATTATTTGAATATCGACGTGTTTATAAATAGAAGGAAAAAAAAATACATACACGACCTTGATTGTTCATGCATATCGAAAGAAAGCCAATCAGTGCACATCAAACGGGCATCGATATGAACGCGATAGAAAACGTCCGCCCCGAATTGATCGCATTTAACATGAATTACCTAACTGAGTTGTTGAATACGTCTCCATAGCGGTTGATCTGCGGCAGCCGTTATACGTGATTTTTATCTTACTATCGAAACAACATTCAACCTCTGATCTCGACCAAACCGCAGAGAACGTGAATACGATGGATACGACGATGGACTATTTAAATAATCTTTTAATATAGTACTATCTATTCGAGCAGGGACCGATGTGACAGTATTACCATGTTGTTATCACATGACGCGTAAGTGCCGTACACGAAAAGGAATAATCAATACAAACACGTTTACTCTCGTACAACAATAATTGTTTCTTATGAACTTGTTTTGTTCGTACACAAAATAAGGACTTCTGTGTCATCCGGGATGATCCATTGTGTACGGTACCCACCGAAAAACATTTATTTTCGTATCAATCGACATTTTAGGTATCTAACGTAGTAGCACGTAAACTTATCTTGAGAATTTGGACTTTCAAATCGTTTTTTTTCCCAAGGGCACTCGCTACAAATGTTCCAAACCATAGCTTTATTCTTTGAAATTCGCATATCATGTTGCACGACTCATAAGAACTCTAAACATGTCGTTTAAATATATATTTCTAATATATATTAAAAATACACTTTCAAAGACGGTTCAAAAAAAAATGTAGTTCGATCAAATGAATTAATTGAGTAACTGTTAATACATTTAATACGAAGTAAAAAAAAAAAAAATATGCTTAAAATTAATTCAAAAATATGGTATTAGTAATATTTTATTTTTTTTTGACGGTACAAAAAGTAAACGATTTTTATAAATACGTACGAATCGATTTTTTTTTCCATTAAAACATTTATGTTTTTTAATATATTTCTGAAAATCATCTTTGAAAAATTCAACGAAAATATAAATAAACTTTAAAAATAACGTGTATTTTATGGTAAAATAAACATTAAAATACACAAGCATAAAGTTCTCGAGTTCGAGGTCAATTATCTGTTTAACTGAAGAGTGCACTTATATATATATATATATAAATATGTGTGCGTGCGTGTAACAATTTTCATTATATTTTCCCATAAGCTCTGCTCCGTATAGTTTGTTAACAAATATATAATTTAAAATGTATTGAGGTAAAATTCGAAAAATACATTAAAGTTCACGATATCGTTTCGTATAAGGATCGAGGCATCGCGCCAAGTAAACGGTACTTTAATCGCGGTACGACGAAATCACCGGAGGCAGTTGCAAACCTCCGAGGTCGTATGGAAATCGTTTTTTATTTATATACATTATGCTTTTCGATTTCCAGACACATATACGTTCGTTGGTAGTTTCAGGATTTTGACGAATCGTCCGCACACCGTGTTGTTTCATTTTCTCACAACGAGTTCCGATTCGAAGCACTCGCGATCGTTATCGGAATATTTTCCCCCGCAAAATAACTGTACAAGACGCAGGGATGAACGTACTACACCAATCATTACTGAGACTCAAATGGTCGATCTCGGTTTTACACAACTTTCGTGAGTCTTGTCGGTTTCAAAAGATGAAGTTCATACGTTTACTCCTCCACTAATGGAATGTTTTAATACGAACGTGTAATAATTCGATAACCACTCGATTTTTCGCGAAAACATTAGCAGATTTATAATTAGCTTCTTGCGTATGATTCGCGATGTACATTCGTGGTACATTCATTGTGTTGCATTGGTTTTAGAACGAAGCGCGTCGAACAAACCGTTTGTACGAAATTATCTTTTTAGCAACACGGTTGTGATAATCTATTTGTTCGACGGCGTTCTGAAAATAATTGGAATGTAGCACGTCGATATCTCCAAGGGACGAAACACAAACGTTTCGCGCGCGCACACCTTATTGCGTATGGGTGGATTAGATTTCGAAAACGCATAGGACCGATAAAAGAAAACCCTATCGACCGGAATAACGAAGTGAAATGGGGCGGCGGCGGCGTCTAACCGTGGGTACGGAAATTCCGGGTAAATATCGTTTTTAATCTCGTCGTCGTCGTCGTCGTCGCTGTGAATAAACACGGGGCGAGAGGGACCGGACGGAACGGTATTAGTGTTTCGAAATTGACCTTTCATTCCCGCCCACGCGCGCATCCATCTCTCGTACACCCTTTGTGCGGGGCAGTCGAAAAGGCGGTAGAAATAAAACAACCCCATCGTCGTCGTCGTCGTCGGCCAAGGGTTAAGAAAATCGTTTTCGCAGACGGCAGCGATGACGACGGGGATTAATGGTCAAACGTGTACCCTCCGGCCGTTTGATACGTGCGTGTGTGTCGGCCATAAATGTGTATATACATACATAAGGTTTGTCTTTTGGCGAGCTATTCATTCCCATGACATTCGGTCGTCGGCTCTTCTGTATATTCTTCTACGACCTTCTTATTTTTCACTCCCTCACACCTCCACTGCTCCTACACCTGCACAACGGTGGTCTTTCATTATTTCGATTATTTTCCCCGTCCTCTTCAACCTTTCCCTGTGGCCACCTTCCGTACATCTGTGTGTCCTCATTTCCCCCCTAGGTCTTGTGGACGATTGAATGAACCTACCCCCGCCCACCAGCCAGCCCAGCCGTCGTCCGGCCGAAAAGCGGTTTCCGGCGCCCGGTCAAATAGACCCGTTTCCGGGATTTCCGCGGTGGCAGGGTGCGGCCGTAAAGGGAAGGTGGTATGCTAATTTCGCGCGTGGCTTCGGGAACGCGTACAAATATAGGTGTACGTCGTTGTCGCCAAACGATTATTGTTACGAGTACGCGTTGTTGTTCACGAAACAATTCGGCCGGCACTGTATTATGTACCACGCGGATACGTCGTTATTATTATTATTATTATTATTATGTTTTGGTGTGTATGCACTCCACCGAGATAATAGTGTATATAATTTACGATTTCGCCGACGCTCCCCGAAAACGAGTCAATGTTTATAATATTATTATTGTGCTTGCGCGTACACTGCATCGGTAATAAAATGCTCTTTGGCCTGACAAATTGATTTTTGAATTTCTCTTACTTCGGTGTACCTATGTTTTATTGTTAAAACACTACTACGAAACGTTATATACAATGGGCTATATTATATACTTATATACAAATTAATTATTTTCCGTAAAGATAAAGCAAGCTATAATCGCTGACATTCATATTATCACCGTTGTGCCGTTGTACTGATATCCTTTTAACTTGAGAAAAGTCTGTGGACCCATGACAAGTTCATAGATTCTCCTCCCTTTCCACCGACTTCCATTGCTATTTTTCTGATATGTCACAAGCAATATTGTAAACAAATAGCAAATAAAAATTATAAATGCAGTGATTGCAACTTTGGAATTCGGAAATCATGAAAATCTTAGAAGCGCAAAAATAAATAAACAGAAAACGTGTGTTCTGAAACAAAAAACCGTGCCGTGATCCATTTGTTTACCGTGATGTGCATACGCGTTTTTAATCCCGACGTGTATGCTGACGAGACGCTCAAACAAACATTGAGTGGGTGGGGTGATGAACGTTTTGCGTTTATCAACAGTAGATTTTTCTTTATGGCTTTTTCTTCACAAAAACTATAGAATATATTCAACGCTATATTGCAAAATGTACACATATAAACAATTTTTTTTTTAAACTCTATTTTATATGTACAATAATCTGTTGTCTACGGGCACAGTAAAATATTCGATAATTATATACAAGCATGAATGATTTGATGAAAGATATTCACTCAGTTGCGGAACTTCCATTTTTATTATTTAAATTTTTTAATTTTTATTCATTTAGAAGATTACGGCTCTAGGTCCTTTTGAGCTGGCTTCGAGGTTCACTAGAAATTGTTAGGGTTCCTAAGTTTGATATGAGAGGGTTGGAATGCGAAGAGTGGAATCAGTAGTGGAAACATTTATAATATATTATTGTTTCTACGTGC